TCCCTCTGTGAGTATTCACTGTGCATTTTCTGTGTATCTTTTCAGTGTTATTTTAATGCCATAAGGGTTAAGAGAAAAAGAAGGGATGTTTGTATTTATTTATCTTTCTCATAAGGGTTGTTAGAAGGGATTTTTCAAAAAAAGGGTTTTTAGAAGAAGGGCTGGCCAAGGTAGGCTTTGGTGTTTAGGGTTATCAAACAAAATGTATTCGCTACAAGGAAGTTATCATTGTGTTTTAGCCTTTTTGGAAAGTGGAGTGATGACCTGGGGTTGTGCTTTGTTTAGATGATTCCCTAACCCGCCTTTCGGTTTTCAACTCAGATCGCTGCTTTGATGTCCTAGCTTTTGCCTAGGTTACTTGAGATGGTTCCCTAGCGGACACTTTCTTTGGATCCTTACTTTTGCCTAGGTTTCCCTTTTTGGATTGTGGGTTGCCTAGTAGATCTTGCCCTAACTTTTGTGCAGCCCCCTTAGTGGGTTTCCTGCCGGGCCTTCATTCATTTTTTTTTGCAGCACTCATGAGGTATGGGATGTCTTTATTTTATCAAACCCTAGTCATGTTTGAATTCCTGATTGTTCCTTTGTTATCCTTTCCATGCTATTATTGAGTAACATCTTTGTTGTAGATACATTTTGTTTGTTAAGGGTTGATGGATGAGGCCTAGAGTGAATATTTAAAGAAAGAAGAGAAATGAAATAATGTTATGGCATTTAAAATAGTACTTCCAATTTACATGTGCCCCTTTAGCAAAGCTCGAAGGCCCGGGCATGCCCCGAGTTCATGATTCGTACACAGAGAGATTAATTGAGGCTGTCCGCTAGAGAGGCATGGTTGACGATCATTCTGTCCAAGAGTAGCACAATGATTATGAAGTTGATGGCTTTGTAGAAAGGAGAAAAATTAGGTACAATATTATAAATATTATTGATACTGTTTTTCAATTAGAATTAGAGTTTCACCTAGGTAACATGTACAAATGTATATTATCAAGATCTGTATTAAATATGAATGCATATTACCATAAAACTCCAATTCTGATTGAAGAACAATACTCATGGTATTGTATCTAAGTATTGGAAAATAACTAATGATCTATGATGGTTACATACCCTGTAATCCAGATAGTATGCATGCTGCAGTAAAGAAAGAGACCGTCAGTTAATGATGACCTTATAAAAAGAGGTTTTCACTATGTATTTTGCATGTGCATGCTTGTTGTTTTTGAGTTGTAGGCGAGACAAAGAGAGAAAGAGAGAGGCATACCTCCCACAAATCCAAATTGATAATTGGCTGCAAGAGAAAATATGATTAACTCCATTTCCAATATTAAATCAAATATTTTATGGAGGAAAGTGGAAATTAACTTACTATGTCATCCCACACAATTGGGCAAATGGCATTTGAAGTTTTGACTATGGCTAGCCGTTTCTCTTCTCTCTTCACTGAAACAGCCAATGAATACTAGCATCAATCACCCACATTATTAAAGCAAAATATCAAACAATAAGGTTACATTTAGTTCTACTCTATCCCACAAACCTTACAATGCAATTGTTCTTGAACTAAACCAGCTAATGAGGAAAGAATAGTTACAACCACAATCACAGAATTATTGAATATTCTCAATTAGTATTTAACAGTCACTCCAGAAAAAAAAATAATAATAACTGAGGCTCTTATTTTTAAATTTTACATTTAATAAATTTAATTTAGACATGTATATCATAAGGGAAACCCAAGGATTTTATGGCATATTAAGAAAATAATATGTAATTTGAATAATTTGAACATTATTTTCGAAGGATTGGGAGAACACAGAACGGAGGATCAATTAGGAAATAGGAATGGACTTACAAACTAGCCAAACCCAACCAGAACCAAATAATGTTAGGGAATCTCCTATAAATTTCTCTCTAAAATTTGTAAATGATCCGAAATCCTTTTCAATCTGTTGAAGGAGACCTAGTGTGGGCATATCACCCCCACCTGGCTGCATGGATTCCCAGAAGAAGTCATGATTCCAAACCTGAGTGGAAGGGGCAAAAAATAATTAGGGGACACGATTGGCATAAACAACATATAAATATAAAAGCACATAGAAACCACAATTGTAATTTCATCGTTATCAGCAATCAGATGACAAGACAAGATTAGTTTCATCACACAGATATGACAAGTCTAGAGAAGGGAAAATACAGAAAATGCAAACAACCAAATAAAACTTTGATAAATATTTAAAGAACAAAAAGAATACAATCTAGATAAGGGAAAATGGTGCAGGAACCACAAGAATAAAGAAAATGGCTACACATGATCAACCCCTAAGTATCCTCAAATTAACTCTAAATGCTATCTAAATGAAATTGGAGCTGCAGATGGAGTAGCATGTGGCTACCAAAAATTTGAAATTCAAATTCTATTTGAATTTCAAATGCCTAGCTTGTTCCTTTGGATGTTGGCGGCAATTTCACCCATCACTTGCCTATAAATTAAGTTCTCCTCCTTCACTTGTATTCACTTTTGAGATTATATTCAGAGCATTGAGCTTTTAGCCAATTTCTCTCTTCTTAAAAGTCCATTTAGACGTGTAGAATTTAGGATTCCTAGAAAGCTTCTAGGAGAAGCACCTTGTGAACAATTCTTTGTTCCCTTGGCTTAGGTACTTCCAACTCCAGAATTCTCTGCGTCTTCAACTCTTCTCCTGGTCCATTCACGTCTAGAATTCACTCGAGGAAGATCTAAGGAGCTTAGAGAAAGTACTTTGGAGGAATTGTCTATCATTTCTCCTAGATTTTCCATCAAGTTGAAGGGGCTAGTGCAGAATCAACCCGCATGAGCAACAGGGTTCCCAAAGCGTGGTGGCATGTTAGGATCCAATTGCAAGGTAAGATACTTCAATTCCACATTGGAAGTATGGGAGTTCTAGTGTGGGGTTTATAAGCCCTTGGCTCTTCAACTACATGAACTAGCTTTGAGGGATGGTTCTCCTGAGGTTTCTTATCACTTAGACTCTCAGGCAGGTTTTCTCATATTGACCAAGGCAGATGCCAAACTTCCCATAGCATGTTCACCAATTGCACATCACCACAAACATAAGTTAATATATTTTTAGTTAGTAGACAACTTTTAGAGCCCTAAATTTTAATAGAGGAAAAATAAAAGTAACAAGAGAGAGAGATAATGGATAGACAAATAGCTGGAGAGAAATAAAGCATCAAAATTGACATTCTCAAAAAGTACTAGATAAATTATTTTTCTCTAGGTTGGAATTAAGAAAAATTGTGCATTGGGTACTGGGTTCCCACCCTCAAAGATATTGAAGTTTTATAAGCAATAATTGTCATGTTCAGTTCCTATTCTATAGCAATAGGCCAATAACATGTCAAAATATTGTCCCTATCTTGTGATAAAGCCAATATTATCCTAGTATTTCAGAATAATGAAACCCTCTTATAAGAGCATCTTTGGAACAACATCATAAAATCCCATCAACAATAAAAATCAAATCAAATAGGTTCAATTGATGGAGAAGCTACTCCTTGTTGCTTTTGTTAGATGAGGAGAGAGAGTAATGATCCACGTTATGGATTTGATTCCAAACACACTAACTTTTGAAGCTAAAAGATGAAATTTTACACTTTGAAAGTGTTAAATTAAATATTTCCCTTTATTTATGTATCACGAAGATTCACTCTCACATTGAATACATGTAATCAATTATTATACCATTGCTTGATAGATAGATATAATTTCATATTAGTTATATTCCCTAACAATAAAATTTCTGTTTATTTCTTTGAATAAAAATAACTTGGAGTACATTACATTTACTTGAGATTTATCTAAACTAATCTCACCAGACCTCTTCAATTTTTCTTTTTCAGCCACAATATACCATTATACAGCCTTGCATACAGACAAATATAAATAAAATAAATAGAGTGGGTGTAATTTCTGAAGAAAGATGATAGGTGAGTGTAATTCTGCAAATCTTAGGGGATGGTTAATATTGTCCACATTGTGTATATCTAATTTTACTATATAATATACATCGGAGCATTTTGAATAGTTTTATGAATAAGGGAGCAATTTCATAATCAATTTAAAATGATCCAAGCCAGAGAGCAATCAATCTAATAAGTACCTCAGCTGCATTGTTGAATTCGGGGAACGGATTCCCATTGTTGTATGTCACTTTGACTAGTTCATCCAAGGTGTAACCATATAGTATATCATCCTTTTCTAGCTGTTTGTTCAAACCTTCTATAAAATTTCGATGATATTCACCCCAGTGCATGTCAATTGTCCTCTTACTCATATATGGCTCTAAGGCATTCTAAGAAATATTGAAGCAGCAAAACAAAGTCAGAATTATCAATTATGATAACAATGATTTAAAGGGCCAACTAGTGGCTGCTTTGTGTAATAATGAGTGTCCAGTTTATATGAGTCACAAAAGGGTTATAGGATTCCTGATTATCAATTTGTCACATAGGCTCTAAGTCTTATAAAAATCTAACGGCTTTTTGACCAAAGTGGGGTCCTTTTAAAACTTTATTACGTAAATGAGGCTGTTTTGTAAGTATTTACGCCTTTGGGGCTGTTTATAACGGTGTCGCTATGGCCCATAGCGAAACCAGTGACACGTGGCAATTTTGAACTCCAAAGAAGCCATGAAAGCCATATTAATAAAGTCGCTACAGCCCATAGCGCCACTAAACGGCTTCAATAAAGTCGCTATAGCCAATAGCACCTCATTTTGAATATAAATTAAAAATTTTAAGAAAATAATTTTTTAAAAAAAAAATACGAATAAAATACAGAAAAGATAAATATATAAATATAAATTATAAAAAGAACTGAATAAAATAAATTAAAAATCTAAAAAACAAATTAAGTAAATAATTTAAAAAAAAAAACGTTAAAAATAGTGGCGCTATGGCCTATAGCGACACAGTGTCGCTATAGGTCATAGCGCCACTGTCATAAATAATTAAATACATATTTAATTCGTGATAAAATAATTTAAAGGAAATAAATATATATAAAAAAAGAAAAGAAATTACAAAGAAAATAAACTTATAAATAGAAAATAATATTTAATTGCTAATATAAAAAAAAAATTTAAAACAAATTAAGTTAATAATTTAAAATAAAAAAAAAATTAGTGGCGCTATGGCCTATAGCGACACTGTGTCGCTATAGGCCATAATGACACAGGTGGAAGACCCTCACGCAGCTCTCGTAACACCTTTGCCAAGGCCACTAACAACTCCTCCAGTCACCAACGGGTACTTCATTTTCTTCTCTATGCCTTCTTATTCTACACACTCTTCAAACAACAAAGCAGAGCAACAACCTTTGCACACAACACTGGAAAGTGGTTTTTCTTTATTTCTTTTATATATACTTTTATGTATTTTTGCTTTCAAACTGTGCAACAGAAGAAGGTGACTAAGAGAGCACAAACAGCACAGAATCTGTGTTTGCAACAGTGACAAGGAAGCAAATAATATAAAATAAAAAAAATTTAAAACAAATTAAGTTAATAATTTAAATAAAAAAAAAATTAGTGGCGCTATGGCTTATAGCGACACTGTGTCGCTATAGGCCATAGCGACACAGGTGGAAGACCCCTTTCATTCACTCATTCACGCAGCTCTCGTTCACTCTGCTCACAAGGCATCCGAGAATCATCAAAAGGTAAGTTTTATTTTCTGTTAAATTTAAATTTAATTTAATTTTTTATTTTAATTTGTTTGTAACGTTTATTAATTTAAATTATTATTTCAGGTTATTTCAGTTTTATTTAGGATATCTGTAGAGGTTTTTTGTGTTGAGGTATTTTTTATTTTTTTTCTGTAAAATTAATAAAAAATTAAGTTTGTAAAAAATAATTTCAGTGAAAAATTAAAAAAAAAAAAAAAGCTTGTGGCCCTATGGCCTATAGCGACACAGTGTCGCTATAGGCCATAGCGCCACTTAAAAAAATTTAATATAATTTATTTTATAATTAAATTTGTGCAGAAGTTAATTTTAGTTTTATAAATATATAATAACCAAGTCAGTTTATTATTTTTATTTTTACAGTTGTATTATTTTCGTTTTTTTTTTTTATACAGTGTCGCTATGGGCTACATCATTTTCGTTGAGCCATCAACTGTGGTGGCGCAGCCTATAACGACATCGATATGGCTCATTCGAAGATAAAAAAAAAAAAGCCACGTGTCGCTATGGCCCATAGCGACACCGTTGTAAACAGCCCCAAAGGCGTAAATACTTTCAAAAGAACCACATTTACATAAAAAACTTGTAAAAGGACCCCACTTGGGTCAAAAAGCCAAATCTAACAGCGTCAGTTTACATGATGAATGGAAATTTTCTTGTTTCTCCTACTCTGCCCTCCTTAAAAAGTCATAAATAGTTGTCATTTTCCTCTCTTGCTATCTCTGAATGTTGATATATGTTGCACATGCAGCAAAATGTAATACCTTGTTTCCATTTTATCCATGATAGAGACAAATTAATTGAAGGTGTTGAATAAACACAATGGCTGTAATAAAAAGAAATTATCCAAGAGAAATAAATTTTCACATAAATAGTTTTTGGAAAAGGGTAACTTACATTTTAGTGTTCATCGAAGGTTGGATGTAATTGTTTCATCATAAACACAACCTTCTATGTAATGTCATCCCTTGGTCAAATATAATATTCTTTTTCTCAATTCTTGGTTTCTTTCTTCATCATTATAATGGCTTAAGTGGCAATAGTCATTGTAACTACCTATGCAATTATTTCTCTGAAAAGCTTACTGCTCAATTAGATGCTTCAACTAATTCAAGCATATAGGCCAAAATAGTATAATTATCTTCAAACAAAAATATGATTCAGGAAAAGGAGTGAATAACTTACAAGTTCATAAGGAGGTGTCTTTAAGCCATAAAATGCAGTAATTTTTGAGGACCTAGGTGATCCATCAAACCTCCTTTTGTGCTTAAAATACAATGAGGGAAACATGTCAGCACAAATAAGAAAGGAAATTGTGTTAGGGAAGAAATCTCCTGTGAGAAATCAGGATTCAGCAATGATATAAAATCAATTCTAATCTATATACAAAAATATAAAAAAAAATCCATGGCTGATGGTGAAATTTATTTAGCTTGCTCAAATACTTTAGAAACAAACCTCTTTACAATTTTCTATTTTAATATATGATTCTATCCCAATACAATCTCCACATTGCCATAAACTTTTTTATACCAAGAAACATAGAGAACTGACAGAACATATTTATCCTAAAACAAACCAACACTACAGAGCCTCTCCATTTCCAACTTTATACCTATTAGATATTTACATTCCTTGCAGAAGTGAAATTTATATTTTGCTTCTTTAAAGAAAATGTTTTGAACTTCAATACTGGAAATCCCCATAAGGCAATGGAAACTTTGCAATTCTAGGCCTTAACTTTGTAGCTTTATCTGTTTCCATTTCTATGAAATAGAGTAATAGCCCATGTATTTTAATGTAGAATATCAGGCTCGCTCAATTCAACGATTTATCATGTCTTCCAAAAAAATTAAATTGTTTATTTTATTGTCTATAAGTAACATCATTTATTAAAAATAATCAAAAGACAGGCATAACAATAAAAAACTACATGCAGACAATTAACCTTAAGTGCAACGCATGGTCATGTTATTAAGTATATCACCAGAAAAGCTACCAAAAGAAATTAAAATATTTTAAAGGGAAAACTTATCAGCAAGAGATTGACACCAAGACAACAAATATCAGCTCAAGAAAGTTACCCTGTGAAGAAGCTTTGGAATCTTGAATTTTCTAGATAAATCTGCACAAATGAGATGAGAGCTAGTAGGGATAGGATTGAAGTAACAGGACGCCATCACAACTTTGTTACCTAGCATTTTCATAAGCATATCAATGCATAATTTAGAAGTTGATTGCATTCCAGAAAACAACCAATATGACCCAGAATGTAGATTTAATGCGACAATGACACGGTTCTCACATCAGGATTGAATTTTCACATTTAAGACAAACAAAAATACTGTGGAGACTAGAATCCGACCCCATGCCATCGCCAATTCAAAACTGATGCCAGCCTCCACCCAAAACCCAAGCATATGTGTTTCCCTCATGGGGAAACCACATGTAGAAAAGAACACAATTCAATAGACTTTGATCCAAGAATTCACATGGAATCAACAATCAATTCCAGATATTATGTCTCAGTCAAACCTAAAAGTGCATCTTCCCCTATACACAGGATGACAGGAATGATACTCATAATTGCTACAGCAAAAGTTGTATCCAAACATCCTCAAACATATAACGTATGATCAAGTATCCTGTATCCCTAAAAGACAAACAATAACAACATCACAGACCTTTGAGATAAGGTTGTAAAGCACAGTTAGAAATGTTCACTTAGGCATTTAAGCAAGCACTTGTCGTGCTTATGAACTTGATATTTTAGTGAGACAAAAGACCATGTCCGTCATATTAACCCCCAATATGATGGTGAACCATAGGCCAAGGAAGTGAAGGGATCTGTGCAAAGACACCAAAGCTGCCACCTTTGTCCAATCCTAAACCAACCATCTTCTCTATAAATTTTTAATTAATATTAGATAAGATTTGAACATGTGTAAGCACGCTGTAGAGTAGAAGGTTGGGTTCAAAAATGAAATGGCAAAAAGGTAGAGACATCACTTGCAAACCCCATGAAAAGTTCGAAGAATAAAAGTGATTGGTAGCAGAAACAAAGAGAGAAAGAGAGCAGCACGAAAAACATGAGAAACGAAAAAGACAACAGAAAACCCAAGTTGTAGAGAAAAACACTAAACCGAAACACGGGAAATTCAGAAAGGGAGAAGGGAAGTTACAAGAATTGCTGAGGGTGTTCGTGGTACGGTGATGTCGGCAGAAAAACAAAAAGGAGCAATGTCTTGAAACTAAAGCTTCTCGGAATGTATAGCAATAGTTCAGTTGTTTGCTGTTCATGAGAATAGAGGATAATGCATACACACTACTGCACGGTTGTATATATTTCTTATCTCTATATAAAATATAAATAATAAATATTTCTTATCTATATAAATAATAAATATAAACAACAACAATAATATAACAATTAAAGTATCATTTACAATATTATTATATTTTTATATTTTGATATATTAGTATTATATTATAATTTTAAATAAATTCAATAATAAAACATTATAATATTTTTCTATTCGATTTAACATAGAAATCACCTATTATGTGGTGTTTAATTAGTTTGATTATGTGTCCACTACATACCAATCCATTTCTTTTTATCTTTATCTCTTTTCGTTCGTGTGAATAGGAAAAATTTTATTTTATTTTTCTCTAAAAAATAAACCAACGTTTTTAATATCTCATTTATGAAAATGTATCATAATTAGTCATTCTTTATAATCAATCTATTTCTTTTTGTCTCATTTATGAAAATTAAAACCACGTGTAAAATATTTTGGAAATAAAAAATTAAATGAAGAATTTATTTTTAACAAACTAAATATTAACATTATTCTGTTAAACGTGCACTAATTAAAATCATTTCTAGCCTTATAAATGAAGCAATAACAAGAAGAAGAATCATTTCTAGGTCCATGGAAGCTACCTATAATAGGAAACATGCTCCATCTTGTTACATCTAAACCACACAGAAAATTAAGAGACTTAGCCAAAATATATGGTCCCTTGATGCATTTGCAACTTGGGGAGGTCTTCACAATCATTGTTTCCTCACCAGAGTATGCTAAGGAGATAATGAAAACCCATAATATATATTGTAATATAATTATTTCATTTTATGATGACATAGTTGTCTAAATTAATTTTTATTAATTAAATAGTTATTATAAAGAATTTTATTTTCATCTTTTTTAGAGTATGATACCTACACATATAATTAGATTAACATATCTGTATGATTTTTTTTTATACAATGCTACAGAAATTAGCTTAATTATAAAGAAACTTAATTTGAATTATAGAGCTAAAATACAATCAAATAAGAATATTATAAAAAAAAAAAAACATTTTTAATGCTAATAAAAATTATTCTTTTTTAATATTAATTTGTATCATGAATAATTTTTTGATAACAGAAAATCAAATCAATTTATATGATTTGATTTATAATTTAATAATTTTTATGCATAATTAATTATAGTTATTATTTTGCATTAATTTTATTTATTTATTATAATTTATGTATAATCATTTAAATTTACATTGAACTAACTGCTACTTGCGCTACATTTAAAATATAATAATAACAGTAAAGTATCATTTAAAATTAAAAGGAATTTATATCATGTTTATGTGTTTTCATACAGAATAAAATACTTGGAAAGTAGAAAAAAAAATCATAATTCTTAAAGAGATCAATTTTGTGATATAACATGGCTTAATTTATAATTTAAGAATTTTATGTATTGTTTTATGCTCATTTTGCATACTTATGCTAACTTATTAATTTCATGTGCTTTGATATTTTATTTAAATTTTCATTAAAATAAAATAGTTTTCTCGCGAATTTTATTGAGTAAAGGAAATAGTTTTTTTTTTTTTTTTTTTACATTTGTTTAAATTGAGTCTTTTAATTACAAATTAATTATTGAAATAAAATTTTATAAAATCAAAATATCTCCAAATTCTCCTTTAATTTGAACCTTAAATTATTGATATCAATTTTCTTTGATTTGACAATGATAATTAACTATTAAACTCTCATATTAGTACCAAAATTAATATGAAAGTAAATCAAGTTTTATATATCTTAAACAATTGATTAATTTTTATTTAGCAAATTAAGTATAATACTTATTATTTTTAAACAATTTTTATTGAGTAAATTTTTTAATAATCAACCTATTAATCAAATAGGGTCTCTTAATTGCAAATTAATTATAAATATGTAACGATTAACTGTTAAAAATTATAAAAACATTTCTATTAATTATTAAAATTTTAAATAGCATTTACTTAATATGTACTTTAATACAATTGTTTCATTTTCATTATGATATCATTGTCTAAATTAATTTTATTAATTAAATAATTATTAAAAACTTTAATTTTATTTTCATTTACTTCAACGTATGATACCTACACATATAATTAGATTGATATATGTTGAAGTATGGTTTTTTCATACAATACTATAAAAATTATTTTGGTTATAGAGAAACCTAATTTGAAATATAAGGTTAAAATACAATCAAATAAGCATATTATAAAAAAAAAATATATATATATATATATATATAATTTTTTTAATTTTATATCAATTTGTATTATGCATGATTTTTTATAATAGAAAATCAAATCAATTTATATGATTTGATTTGTGATTTAAGCAATTTATTTATAATTTATTATTTTACATTAATTTTATGTATTTATTATAACTTATATATAATCATTTAAATTTATATTAAGTTAGTCGTTACATTATCCTACATTTAAAATATAATAATAACATCAAATTGTCCCTTAAAATTTAATTTTTTTTAATATTTAAATTTTTCATATAGAATAAAGTATTTAAAAAATATAAAAATCATATTTCTCAAACTCTTTCTATTTATTATTTCAAACTCTTTACAAATTTATTAAATATGAAATGTAATATAAATTATATTATTTTCCGTGCAACTTACGGGTTAATGTCTAGTGCATATTTATGAATTTTTTACACAAATATTATTTTTTTTAAAAAAAATTACTCAATTAACCACTGTGCAACTTTATTTACAGGGATAGAACCATTTACTGTTTAAGCTCAGAATTCGGTTCCCGGGGAACCAAATTCTGAGCACTAACGTCTTTTTCAACTCAGAATCCGGTTCCTGGGGAACCGAATTCTGAGTTGCTTTTATATTTTTTTTTTTCGCGTTTGCAGGGGAAACATGGGCAGATGTTGGAAGCGGAACGGCCCGTTCCGAAATCAGAACGGGCCGTTCTGCTTAAAGGAACAGAGTGGCATTTGTTAAAGTGAAACGGGCCAAGAACGGGTCGTTCCAACGTTAAGAATTAACGTTGAAATAGATGTTGGAAGCGGCCCGTTTTAAACAAAGTTTTTGGTAATTTTTTTTTTAACGTGGAACGGGCTCGGGCCGTTCCGGTTTTCAGAAATGGCCTTTTAACCTAATTGAGAACGGGCCGTTCCAGAGTTGAGAACGGGCCGTTCCAAAAAATGACCGTTGTCAATATTAAATGCACCCCAGAACGGGCTGTTCTGGTTTGAGAACGGGCCATTCTGGATGTGATTTTTACTCGTGATTTAAGGGTCTAGAATGGGACGTAAAATATAATTGGTTGCCAGTGTAAAAAAACTTTACACTAGCAATGTATAGGTGATTAACTCATATATATATATATAAACAAGGAGAGATTTACTTATTCCAAGATTAAGTTTGAAATTTTAACATAAATTTATAATGTGACACAAGATCATTTTTAATTATTGATGTAACACCTTGTGCTTTTCTTATTAAAATATTTTTTTTATTATTAATTATTATATTTTATTATAATTAAATGTCTTGGTTTTTGTAACAGCTCAAGCTTCACTAGGCCAAGAGGCCAATTAAGGTGGTTTAGTAGCCCGGAATGGGCCGTTCCAAATTACTAAATAGACCTACTTTTGGTAACGGTCCGTTCCAAACCATTAAATTTACCTATGATTCTTAGTTGGGAACGGGCCGTTCCGGTTTTCAGAAATGGCCTTTTAACCTAATTGAGAACGGGCCGTTCCAGAGTTGAGAACGGGCCGTTCCAAAAAATGACCGTTGTCAATATTAAATGCACCCCAGAACGGGCTGTTCTGGTTTGAGAACGGGCCATTCTGGATGTGATTTTTACTCGTGATTTAAGGGTCTAGAATGGGACGTTCCGGATTTGGAACGGGCCGTTCCAGAGACATATGATCCTATAAATAGAACACTCAAGCACTCCTAAAAGCACACTTTTCACTTCTTTTTTTTTTTTTCTTTTTTGCTCTCTTATTTTCCTTCTACACTCTCTGAAGACCGAGAGGCACTTAGAGGAGGAGACCAAGGAGATCTCTATTTTAGTTTCGGCTACTGTTTATCCAGGTACGGGAGAAAAGGGAATTATTTGTATGTAGAGTTACATGAGGGAATTGGATAGAGGAAGAGTCCCTTAAGATTATGAGTAATTTTATAATTATTTATGTTTAAGGAATTTTTGATCCCATTAGATTTTACATGTATTAAGGATTATAAATATATGTTTAATTTGTAAGAATGATGATTTGGGAGAAAGAACGAAATTATAGAAAAGTGCCTGTAAGCTACGTTTTGGAAAAATTGGATTAATTCTGTTTGAGGAATAGATGATCCCATTTGATTCTGTATGTGTTGAGGATTAGAAATATATATTTAATTTGTAAGAATGATGATCTAGGAGAGAGTACGAAATGTCGCCACCGGCCCGAAACGGGCTTTCGGCATTCGCGAAGGATGGTTGGACTCTTTTATTTGTTTAAAAATATGGATTGCTAGAATGACTTATTCTCAAACTGAGACCTTGTCAAACGAGCAATTTTATTAAAAGGCTCACCAATCCATGTTAATCCCAAGCGGGACCCTCCATGGATTAGCGGTTTTCATAAAAAGGAAGGGTTCATGGAGTCGCCACCAATGTTTTACTCAAAACATTGGAAAAAGAA